TGGGGGCTGTGGGCCTGGCCCCTCGTCTCCTGTTGGAGGGGCAGCTCTGAGCTGGGCAATGGGGGGTGGCGGCGGGCTGCCCTCAGGGCTCTCCCCAGCATCTCCCCCGGCTCCTGGCAGGCTTCTGGAGAGAGGCTGCACCCTGAGCCACTGCCGGGGCCACTGGGCCCTGCCTGCCCCATGTACCAGTACCAGTACAGTTCCCCCATGGCTCACCCCATGTACCACGGTTTCGACGAGTGGCAGCAGAGCCGATACCCACCAGCAATGCCAGGCGAGCACACGCCGGGACAAAACTTTCACCATTTTCCCCCGGTGAGTGTCTACCCCTGCTGGCATGAGGGTCCCATGCGAGTGGGTCTGGGGCTTGCTGCCAAGCAAGCGGCTCTTCCAGGGCCACCGAGTCACCGAGCAGGGAGCTGAGCGCATGTCCTGTTGGCACATGAACACTCAGCCCTCCTCCTCCTCCTCCTCACACCCTGGCAATCGAATATGGAGAGCAGCCTTGTGATTCATAGCTCTGATAATTCACTGTTTCTGTTCCATCTCTTCTTGCAGCCCGAGTACCCCTGGCGCCCGCCCTGCGCCATGGCTCGCAGCCAGAACGCTCAGGCAGTGGCCGGGGTGAAACCGGTCCCCAAGGACTTGGGTAAGGCTTGGACCCTCGGCGAGGAGAGTGCCCCTGTCTTTTACCCTGAGACCCTGGGCAGTTGGCTGACCACTTTGGGGAGGGATGGGGGAACAGCGTGCCCAGGCAGTGGCCATTTCCCTTCAGCCCCCACCTCTGATCAGCCAAGGGGATGATTCTGCTGTGGGATTGGTCCCTGCTGCATCCCCTCCACCATCCCCCCAGCATCTGAAGGCAGGCGTGAGCCTGAGCCCCAGCAGGGTTATGGCAATTGGTGCTCGGGGGATAATGACCATCCTGTGGCTGGCATCCCTTCCGTGGGGCTCGTCTGGGCACGAAGAGCTGCACTTACACCGTGCCGCCCCTCTCTTGTGTCTCAGAACAGGCAGGTCCCGGATTGCCCTAACGCCAAGGACCGGCTGCGCTGCAATACTGGCAGAAGAGGAGTAGGGTGTGTGTGTGTGCCCGTGTGTATATATCTAGGAGCTTCCTCCGGCTGCCTATCCCCGTGCGTGGACATGCAGTGGACGTGGCCGCACCCGTGGCCTGGAGTGGCTCAGCAGTGCATCCCCTCGAGGAAAGTGTGAAGGAGGGACCGAAGGTGCCGTCATGGTGGTGGCCAACGCAGGGTCAGTCCCCTGCGGCCATCCCCTTCCCTACGAGGTGTCAGGCCTGGCATCGCTGTAGACCCGAGCCAGGACTTCAGGGAAGAGGAGCTGGGATTTCCCGGGAGCGTGCCAGGAGCTGCCCCGGTCCAGGGGCTTCGGTTCAGCCCCTGGAGGAGCGGGTGACGGCAGGGACTCTCCTGGCGGTGGGAGATACCGTGCTCGCAGGCAGGTGCCTGCCGCCGCCACGGCCCGGGCTGAGGGTGGTTGATGTCTTTGTATTTATTTAAGGACTGAAGCATAGCTGAGTCTCTCTGGTTTTATCCTGAAAGCTGCTTTCCCTAGGGGAGCCTCTGCGCAGGACTGAGAGGGATGCCAGGGCTGCTGGTCCCCATGTGCTTGGTGTAGCCACGGGGCCAGAGCAAGCACAAGGGGAACCCAACCCCTGCATGGGCACCCCGGGGTCTGTTGCCCCGAGTGCATGCCCCCCACCTCCCTCCGGGTGCTGGGCTCAGCCCCTTGCCCTCCCTTCTCCTGCCCCCTACCTCTGCCAGGGCAGGGAACCCCCTGCTCCCCCCTCTGCCTTTCCGTGCAGCAATGGCCTTGGGGCCAGTCTCAAATTGCACAGATCAAATCTTCCTCCTGGAAATCAAGTCTGGAGGGGGGGGGGGGAGCACCAAAC